GGGGGGGGGGGGGGGGGGGGTGGCCAACCCTCATCATGACTTGTCAATAATCAGGCACAAGCTGCCTACTTTTGCCTTCTACTACTCAATAACTTTGAACCATATGCCCAAAAAATGAAGGCTGACCATGCGAACTGCACTTCCTGGTCTGATCACAATAGTGGCTGACACTGGAAACCCTTTGTTCTTCATCGGCCGCAAAGGGTATTCATAAAAAATGGGCGAAGTGTTACGAGATTAAACCACAGAGGGTAAAATGGAATTTTCCCCCCAAAAGAAATTTGGTAATCAATATTCACGATTCTCTTGACTCATTTCTTGACGATATGTAAATTTATTTAGAGTAAATTGACAACTCTTTAGTAAAGAGCTTATGGAACTGATTTAGTTTTTGTGCTTTATAGATTGGTTCAATTCTGAAGAAACTATTCAAAGATGGCGTAGTGAAGCGGGAGGATTTGTGGATTACCTCCAAACTCCAGTTTGTCTTAATCATTGTTTTTAAGTTACCATATTATGTGCAATTATACAAAATGCTACGTATGTATTCTCTGTACGGTGATGAAGCTTCAGTGTCACATGGCTTGTCTTTAGGATGTCTGAACATTTGTATTTAAAGTTTTCACTATTTGAATTTTAAAACTACATGCAGGTGTTATTATAATGCACCCAAGGATGTACCAGCAGCTCTAAACAGAACTTTGCAAGACTTACAGATTGACTATGTTGATCTGTTCCTTGTATGTATTGTCTCACGGAAAGTTCCATTCCCTGTTATGTCTGTTACTCTCTTAGATTTTGTTGGGTTGAACTTCAGAAAGTAGTAGAATTAGCTTGAGGAACAATAGGTCTAATTCAAGGTGAAACGTGCAGGGAATAGATAAATTTTCAGCAATAAGCATCCTTTGAAATTGACCTTAAAGCCACTTTCTTATTCTTGGGGGTTTTAATATTTGTGTTGAAACACTGATTTGATAAGTCCCATAATTTATTCCTGCCTCTAGCAGAATATAATATTGTTTGTAAAGCTAAATATGTGAAGGAGTAATACCTTATCGTATCATCGCGTCATCATCGTCATATTATTCTTGTTATTCTTTTGGGCTAAGTAATCATTTGCTGCTTCTCTTTGAGGTTGTAAAGTACTTGTAGAGGACATGGTTTAAATAGTAACTTAGTGAAGCTGTTCATTCTTCAAGATCCATTGGCCTGTCTGGATGAAGAAGGGAGCTGCTGGCTATAAGCCTGAAAACCTCATTCCAGCTGACATGCCTAGCACATGGAGAGCTATGGAAGCACTTTATGATTCTGGGATGGCTCGAGCTATTGGTGTTAGCAATTTCTCTTCAAAGAAACTGGGAGATTTGCTGGATGTAGCAAGTGTTTCCCCTGCTGTCAACCAGGTGGAGTGTCATCCTATATGGCAGCAGACCAAGCTACGTGAATTCTGTAATTCAAAAGGAGTTCACTTATCTGTGGGTTTAAATCTCAACTTACTTCGATATTATATTGTGTTCGATAAAATCTTAATTTTCTATGTAAGTTAGCTATGACTTCTGATATACACTTATAAACCACCTTTGACATTAATTTTAATACAATTATTTATTTCAGGGATGGTCACCATTGGGTTCCCCTGGTACGTGGATCAAGGGCAAGGGTGATGTCCTTAACCATCCAGTTGTGACTCTGGTTGCAAAGGAAATGGGAAAGACTCCTGCACAGGTTGCTCTCCGTTGGGGTTTGCAGATGGGTCATAGTGTACTTCCTAAGAGTACGCATGAAGCTCGGATCAGAGAAAATTTTGATGTCTTTGACTGGTCTATACCTGACGACTTATTCACCAAGTTCTCCGAAATTGAGCAGGCAAGTCCCCTTTTTTCTTTTGTGTCCTATCTTACTGCTCTAGTTTTGGGGTCATAGTTCCTCAATGTTGCTGCTCCAACCATTATTTTCAACAAGGGCAAATGGTAAATTTATAACTGCTATTTGCCAACCTTTGTATAGTTGTATTTTGTAGAGGAGTATGATTAGGTAATTTATGAACTGCATCTACAATGTGTTATTTCAGTGAGGATGTCTCAACCTCCAAAAAACAATGCAGCCAAAGCATCTCATGATGGAATCACTAACACACTGTATAGTGGAAATGCAGTAAAAGCATTCCATGAAGGGCAGTTTAAGGTTATTAAATTCACTGGCACAACCAGTGGCGAGCAAGAATTTCCAAAATGGGAGGGCCAAATTAATAATTGAAGAAAGCTAGAATATAGGAATTATGGCTCATACTTTGACTATATCAGAAATTGAGGGCTACCTTGGCTAACTTTGAAAGTACCCATAGAATATAAGAAGAAAGTACACTACAGCAGACCCTTAGAAGGGGTGGGGTGGGGTGGTGAATGTGGCTCTTCCACTGGGTAGAACTCTTCCATATATTTTTTCTGGGAACTTATACATGCTATTGTTTGTGAACATGCAGAAAAGACTAGTCAGAGGGGAATATTTTGTCCATCGGACACTCGGCCCATTCAAGACTGTTGAGGACCTCTGGGATGGTGAGATCTAACTAGACACATGAATAACTCATTTATGTAGAACATGCAGATCTTTGCCTACACCATCAGGTACATTTTGTTTGTACAAGTTCTGGTGAAAATTTATTGTTTGACCTTAGATGATTGCAACTATTCCTCCTCTACTTTTAGTTTTAATGAGCTCTTTCAGAACTTTCATTACCTTCAATTTAGGTGCTTGGTAAATATAATTTTTTTTTTTTTGGGAAACATCTTATTTTCCTGTCTCAATTCTAGTTTCTTGATTTTGGAAAAATGTCGAGGATAGTGGATCATTTCCTTCTAATATTACTTAATTTTGTAGTTTATTTGTTCATGGTTCATGCCAAAATGTATTCTCCCACTATGCCACGCTCAAATAAATTTACGTGAGCTTTCAGCAGTGTGGTGTTTTTTTTATCAGTGATTCTTCCTTTGTGACCAGCCAGATGACGCTCCCCTGCAAACAAGAAACCTAAGATTATGTTCCTCATAGCTTTATCAGTGTTCATGGCCGATCCAAGTTCTCATCTTCTAACACTTCTTAGTTGCCAGATTCTCTTCATTTATCTTCTATGCAGCCTTGTTCTTATCATTTCAATGCTATCTATTTTGCTACATTATGATCTGGGATATCAGTATACTTACTTTCCCTTCTTTCTCAAAACCTATCATCTTTCACAAAACTGTCCTTTTGTTGTAGCAGAATCTTACCCTTTGTTTGGTATGAGGTAAAATTGAATGGATGAAAAAAGATGGATGGAAAGTGGAGGGAAACGAGAGATTTTTCTTTGTTTGGTTGAGAAGTAAAATTGAGAGAAAAGAAAAATGAGATGGAAAGAGAATCCCTCCTGCCCACCATTTTTAAACCGCCCAGTAAATGGCTGGAAAAGATGAGCAATACATGGATTTAACTTTAATGCCCCTTGAAGTGATCAGTACAACGGTGACACCATGTCATTACTGTCACGTGATGTTATCATCTAATTAAAAAAATAGAACTAGAAAAAGTGAATCCCACTATTTTCATAATAACTGGTAATTATCATATTCAATCAACAACACGTAAGATTAGTGGGATCAACATTATCTATTTGTTGTCTTTTAATTGAATTGTGACACCATATAGTGATGATGACATGGTGTCACTATTGCAATGAATATTAGTGATGGTTTGAAAGTGATCGTTGCTACATGTTTCTCAAGGGTAATGCAATGTTTACCAAATTTTCTTGTCAATGTTTACCAAATTTTCTTGTCAAATCTCCGTTCTAAATGACATGACACAATTTTTTATCATCAGATAAGTGAATCTTATTAATATTCAATGACAGAGATTATACTACATCATTTGAAATGGAAGATTTCATAAGAAAATTTGTCAAACATAGTATTTTTCATTTCTCAAATAACAAAAGGAACGTGGGGGCCAACACTTTTTATTTTCTAAAGATGAACCACGAAAGTGGTGGGATCCTAGGATATTTTTAACTCCATATTTAATACAATTACAAGCCAAGTCATGTAATTTAACAAATTATATTTTTATATTAATTTTTTTTCTCATTCATATAATTCAATAAAAAATTTATTTTTTTAACTTTTCCATCTTTTCTACCAAACAAGAAAGAAGGATAACATCTTTCATTTCTCAAACGATTGAAAATGTATTTTTTTTTGTCTTTCTATCCCTCTTACCAAACATGCCATTAGAAACAATTTTTTTTGGTTCCTTCATCCATCGGACAATCAGAATCAGAATTACAAAAGCCAATCTCGTGTATGTCGTGGTGGAAAAATATTAATATATCCAGAAAATCGGAAAAATTCTTCATTGACTTGGGGTGGCTCGTTATGTGGGGGAATGTCTTTGGGCTTACTCGTGGTTAGAAGGGAATAAAGATCCTGCTCATTATATTTTTACTCAATTTTACCCAATGAGATTGTAGTTGGGTGAAAGTGCGTTGAGAAGCTTTGGAAGGTCCATTACTTCATTTGGCACCAGTAAACTAAAATAGATTAAGATTTCATTATATTTTTCTTCAATTTTATTCAATGATAAATCATTCATTTGTATATAGGTGAGGATCCACTAATAAATAATGGGTCTCATGTATATTAATAGTATATAATTTAGTAAAAATTAAGGCTAAGTCTTCCGTAAGGAACTTATAATGAGTTTAGTCCGTCAAAAAAGCTTATGTGGAAATAAGTTCGTTTTTAATATTCCTAATAAGTAGTAAAGTCCACTATTTTTTTAAAACTCTAAATACTATTCCTTGAAAACAACTTTAAATTAATTTTTTATATTGGAAATTATTATCTCTTAATTCACTATTAATGAAGATATATCAATAATTTTTTTTACATAAATTTGAAATTCAAATTTAAAGAACAACTGTTACTTTTTTTTTCTCTCTATGTATACATAGTAGTAACACACATGTGCGTAGCTAGTAAAAAAATTTAGATTATATTTTTTAGAAATACGAAGTGTATGAAGTTGATGAAATAAAAGACTCCTGATATATGCATTCAATGACTTTTTCAATCTAATAAGAATTTTTGGCATTACAACATAAGACTAAGAAAACTTCTACATATAATTTATTAATATAAAATTATTCCACAACCACATGAATTCAAGAAGTCTGGTAACAAAACTAATTCTACTCATAATATAATAACTACTAAAACACTGTAAGCCTACTAATAATAAACAATTAAATATTATGAGATTAGTTTAACATATTAAGCTCTTCATTCCATGAAAAGTATATTTTTTTGGACGTTCATTATCACTTTGATGGGAACACCAATTCAATTGAACACAAAGTAATTTAAGTTCCAATTACAAAAATTGTTGTACGGTAAATAGAGCATTTATGCAATAGTTATACCCAAATAGATGGAAAACAAAGTAAAAAAAAAATATCATACCAGCAATAGACATATTCTCACAGAGAAAAAAAAAAACTCACAGGTTGACAAAATCAAGCATCATCGATCCTGCAGAGATATAAGACCAAAAATATTAATGAAATTACTAGAGAGATATAGGTCTATCTTCCTATATCTACCTATATATATTTCTAATAAAGTTGTTTAAACTATTTTAGAAGTCTAATAGATATAAAAAAAAAAATATATATATATATATATGAGTTTAGCTCTTTACTCTTCTAATGAATTTTCGATGGTTATATTAATCACCTAAAAATAGCAATTTTTTTTTTTACATATCATGTTAGAATTCTAGTTGAATTTGTTGAATTGAATGGAAAAAAGAATGTACTAGCAAGTCACAGTGATAAAATTTATCTAGTAAAAATTTTGAAAGTCATAGAGATAAATTTTATTTAACTAATATATAGTGATAAAATTTATCTAACAAAAAATTTGGAATATTAGTGATAAAATTTATCCAGCAAAAAATTTGGAAGTCATAGAGATAAAGTTTATCTACCTAATATTTTGTGAGCATAATTATCTTTAGTGTAATAATTAGGGGTGAAATAGAAAAAATAAAGTTGTTCAAAATATTTTAGAAGTCTAATAGGTATGAAAGAAAGAAAAATATATGGGTTTAACTTTTTGCTCTTTTAATCTTTTATTATATAATAATAAATAATGAATTTTCAATGGTTGTTTTTATATCCTAAAAAACAACAATTTTTTTTTTCACATCATATTAGAATTAAAATTGAATTTATCGAATTGAATGGAAAAAAAGAATATACTGACAAGTCATAGTGGAGATAAATTTTATCTAACTAATATATAATGATAAAATTTATCTTGCAAAAAATTTGGAATATTAGTGATAAAGTTTATTCAGCAAAAAATTTGGAAAGTCATAGAGATAAAATTTATCTAGCTAATTTTATCTAACTAATGTATAATGATATAATTTATCTTGCAAAAATTTTGGAATATAAGTGATAAAGTTTATCCAGTAAAAAATTTTAAAGTCATAGAGAAAAAGTTTACCTAGCTAATATTTTGTGAGCATAATTGTCTTTAGTGTAATAATTATGGGTGAAATAGGAAAAAATAAAGTTGTTCAAAATATTTTGGAAGTCTAATAGATATGAAAGAAAGAAAAATGTATGGGTTTAATTATTTACTCTTCTAATCTTTTATCATATAATAATGAATAATATATTTTCAATGGTTGTGTTTATATCTTAAAAAATTACAATTTTTTTCCACATCATATTAGAATTATAATTGAATTTATCAAATTGAATGGAAAGAAAGAATGTATTGGCAAGTCATAGTGGAGATAAATTTTATCTAACTAATATATAGTGATAAAATTTATCTTGCAAAAATTTTGGAATATTAGTGATAAAGTTTATCCAGCAAAAAATTTGGTAGTCATAGAGATAAAGTTTATCTAACTAATTTTATCTAGGGTTAATTACAAGTTGCAACCTAAAAGATAGTTCGAATCTCAATTTAGACCCTCAAAGATCAAAAATTTTAATTTGCACCCTCAAAGATAAAAATTTGTATCAATGTGCACCCCAAAGATAAAAAAATCTCAATTTACACCCTCAAATATAGAAATTTGTATTAATGTACACCTAAAACTAAATTTATGAATTATAGCTAGATCCCCTCATGTTTGTCACTTAATCATTTAGACCCCTTTACATTTAGAATATTACTCCTACATCTTATGGCGTTTGTGCACGTGTAACACATAACCCATTTTCGTTGATATATGTTAATATAATCGTTAAAAAAATATGATTTTATTCTAATAAAAAATTATAATTTCATATTAGCTTTTATTTTGTGGGTCCAATATACTCTAAAGTTCAAAATCAAGCTTATCATTTGAATGTCTAATAGAATAAAGGGTTGCACATTGAGTGATATATTGTATTATATAAATATCTATATTCTATTAGATATTCAAATTATAAGCTTGATTTTAAACTTTAGAGTATATTGGACCCATAAAATAAAGGGTAATGTGAAATTATAATTTTTTATTATGATAAAATCATATTTTTTAACAGTTATATTAACAAATATCAATGAAAAGGTGTTACGTGTTACAAGTGCACAAACGTCGTGAGATGTAGGAGTTATATTTTAAATGTGAAGGGGTCCAAATGATTAAGTAACAAGCATAAAGGGATCTAGGTAAAATTTATTAATTTAGTTTTAGGTGCACATTGATACAAAATTCTATCTTTGAGGTTGCAAATTGAGATTTTTTATCTTTGGGAGTGCACATTGATACAAATTTCTATCTTTGAGGGTGCAAATTGAGATTTTTC